ATGCAGCAAATAAAATAGATGAAGTAAAGGAAACAAATAATGCAAATAATGTAGATGAAACCAATGAATCACTATCTAAATTTTATATAGATATTTTAACCGGTGCAATTAACCCGGAACGTAATGTAAAGACAACTAATTTATGGGATTTTTTACGTTCGTATATTGGAGAAAAAGGTGATCAATACTTTCTTAAAGCAATGGAAAATTATTATTATAAAGATACTGGTAAACTTGCTATAGATGAAGAGATTAAGGTTGCAAATATGGAAATTAAGCTTTCATTATCACCAAAATATTATAATTGGGTACTATTAAATTTTAAACCTTATCTGAAAATAGTATCAGAGTCCTTTAAAGACATTTTAGCAACTCGAGTTAGTATAGACATAAAACTTCAAGAAGATAACAATATTGCAAATGAAACTACTACAATGATATGTGATACATTCAAAACATATTGTCTGACCTATTGTTATACAGAAGGATTCTTTTTACCATCACAATTAAAAATTATTTGCAAGACCACAAGTGAAGATATACTTAATCCATTGTTCAAATGTTATTTGTATATGGTGTTTGAAATTAAACCACAAGAAGTAACTGATTATATGGATCCAAATGATTCTTTCAAGGTAGAAAACGCAACATTATTGCATAATGAATTACAAGAAAATTTATATATTCATTCTGATTCTCTCAATGTGATGAAAGCAAACTCGCAATGTGAAACTGCGCCAATAACTGAGGATATTACTTTTGAGAAATGTAAAACTAAAAAGGAATTACAAGAACAATGGTATAAAGAAATTAAAAAATACCATAATAGAATTCCTATCGCACAAAATAATTTATCTAAATTCGATCTCTATATGAAAGAATTTTGGCAAATCTTTGTCGAAACAGAAATTGGTAGAGAATTGAGAGAGAAGGAGAAAGATATAGAAAAGTCTTCTAATCCTCGAGTAAAGAAAGATAACATCGAGAGACTAAATTAGCATATTTTAGAAAACACCTGTTTTCTAATTTAGAAAGACGTCGAAAGATGATTTGAATTAATTTGAAGAAATTTAGAAAAATTCAATTAAGAAAAAAATCCTTTATAGAATTTCATGGATTCTAATTATTCATTCTTTCGACGCAAAGTATGAACAAAACATACCTATAACCTGCCTGTTTTGTTGATTTTTTTTTTTTTTTTTTCCCACCTTGTGGTTTTTTTTTTTTTTTATGTTCTTTAACA